GAGCCTGCGCTCTAGAGCCCGTGAGCCACAACTACTGAGCCCGCATGCTACAACTACTGAAGCCCACGCACCTAGAGCCCGTGCTCCGCAACAAGAGAAGCCACCGCAATGAGAAGCCGGCACACCGCAATGAAGAGTAGCCCCCGCTCGCCGCAGCTAGAGAAAGCCTGCATGCAGCAACGAAGACCCAACGCAGCCAAAATAAATTTAGTAAAGAAAAAAGAGCATTAAAATAGATAACCAACAAGGACCTACTGTATAGCACAGGGCACTATACTCAATATTCTGTAACAACCTAAATGGGAAAAGAATTTGAAAAAGAATAGATACATGTATATGTATAACTGAATCACTTTGATGTACACCTGAAACTAACACAACATTGTTAATCAACTCTACTCCAAGATAAAATAAAAATTAAAAAACAAAGGAATAAATCTACTGACCTTCCCAGATTGAATCACAGCATCAGTGTCTCCCTGAAGCCTTTCATGTACCCCTGGGTCTGCTTTAGATGGTGTTCCTCTGTGGTCACCCAGCTGGAATCCTTCTCTCTGCTTGGGGTAGCTTGTATACTAGAACCAGAAGGGTTCTGATGTCAGGCAGAACTGGGTAAAATCATGACTCAACCTTTACCTGACGTGGACAACATATTTAACCTCCTTTAGCCTGAGTTCCTTCACCATAAACGTGGGAATATTGATGCCATTTTGCAAGATTGTTGTGAGGGGCAGAGTGAATTTATGCGAAAGCTCATCTGATGATGGGCAGATATAGGTGTTCAATAAGAGGTAACGGAATTTTTAGAGAATGGAGATTGCTTTCTCCATTCTCATAGCCTTGCTACTTTGTCAAATAAAAGTAGTAATGCTTTTTACACAGGTTTTTCTTCTGTGGCATGACATCATTCTCTAGACTTCTGTATCGAATTTTACCTGTGCTGTCTCTCAGCTAGCTATTTGGATGGACAATCTTGATTGTGGCTTAACACCAAAGCCTGCTGCCATGTGTCAAGTGGTCCTTTAGTGGCTTACCTCCAAGGTGAATCCAGTGGTGACATCCAGGCACTCTATTAGGAAGAGCACAGTTACAGGAAACTCAGCCTGAAAATTTGGCATTCTCCAATCAACTATAGAGGTAGTTTCTACTACCAATGGTGCGAGTCTTGTGTGGCCGGCATGGAGCAGAGAAGAGCAGGTGAGCTGAGTTGCGGCATCAGAGGTAGTGGGTGGTTTCACAATTTTAACAGTGTCACCCCCTCTTATGAGTGACCTCTCTTTAGAGGCACTTCGCCCATACTGCTTTTTATGATGCCTTCTTTTGAAATTGTAAGTAGCATTTGTCCTGTGGCAGCGTCTCGTCAATGCAAATTTTTGAATGAATGAATGAATCCATGATTTTTGCCCAAGTTTGATAAATCTTCCCAAGCATCTAATTTTATGTCATTTTGTTTAATGAGGTATAATCAAACATTTTCTTTTGCTTCTTGGGAAACATTTAGATGGCAAGAACCACAGATCAACTTGATTGTTCCATAAAGATATAAATGCTACTGGCAGAGTTCACTTATTTAGAAGATGTTTCTGGAACATGGTACTGCATGAATGTGATAAGGTGATGTATCCAGGTGAGTGAAATACATGTCAGAAATATCTCCTATAAAAATTCAGTGCTGCCCGTCTCCTTTAGTTCCTTTCAGCAATAAACTGGAAGTGTGCTTGGTTTCAGCTTTGTTTCTTTTGACACTTTGCTTTTTATCAGCAACAAGAGATGTGTTGTTTTATCTTCTGTTTTGAATCTGTTTTAAACCGACCTCCCCACCCCCGATGCCAAGAACAAATTAAAGGGCTCTTTTTCTTGATAGCTAAGATTGTTATCCCAGGAAATGAGTCAGTGAAAACGTGTCTGCATAAAATAGCAGTAGCAAAATCTGTTCTTAATGAAATGCGTTGCTCTGGCAAGAGCCCGGAGCTCAGCAAAGAGGTCAGATGATTCTCCCAGATCACCACGGCCAAAACTTTTGCCAGTCAAGTCAAGATGCCAAGTTATATACCTGGGAGGAGATACTTCCGAAAGTACCTCTTCAATAAGCCTATTTGGGATGAAAAAAAATGGCCACAGTTCCTTTGTTATGCCCCTGATTGGGAGTTAGAGTTTATCTTCCCCTGGAATCTGTCCTGTCCTGTGACTGCTTCATCAACAGAAGGCAGCTCAAGTGACACTTGCCTATGTGGATCTAAGCATTAAGGTCTGGAAGCTTCATTCTGGGGAGCCCTAAGTTGCCGTATAAAAAATCTGGCCATCCTGGAGAGACCACATGACACTACACGGAGAGAAAGTCCAATCCATCCCAATGTCCAAGGGAAACCTCGAAATAATTTCAGTCTCATTCCCCTCCTGATCACAGTCTATCACAAAAACTTACGACCTATGGATTTGGCTTTGGGACGGGTAGAATCTGGAAGGGACTCAAGGGGATTGTTAGTGAGACCTGGAAGGACAGAGAGAAAATTGTCATTGGAGGTTGGAGAAGGGGTGACCCAAGTTACCTGTGGCTGAAAACTTGGCAGAAAGTTGATAGTGTCGACTGAAAAAAAATGTACGACCTAAAAGTTGAAAATTATGTTTTATTCAGCAGACTTTCTGGAAGACATCCTCTCAGATGGCTCTGAGGAACCCCTCCGAAGAGGTCAGGGAGGAGCCAGGATATGCAGGAGTTTTGGCAGAAAAAAACCAGGCAATCGGAACATCAAAAGATGACTGTTTATTAAAGAAACCCAGGCATCTCAAGTTAATGAGTTAGCGCTTTTCTCTGTATGGGAAGATGCAAGAGTCTGGGCTCACTGAAATCATTCCTTTGATATGCACCTTAACCATCTAGGGCCAATATCCTCTTTCTACCCATCCTGAATGCCTTCAGGGTGCACAGTCAGGGGAGCTACACTGGCTGATGGCTTGATGGCCGCGACATCCCTTGTTTACTGATCTAGCAGGCCGCGTTCTTCATCTGGAAAAGTATGGAAAATAGGGGACTTCCCTGGCGGTCCAGTGGTTAGGACTCTGCCCTTCCACTGCAGCGGGGGCCCAGGTTTGATCCCTGGTTGGGGGACTAAAATCCCGCAAGCCGTGTGACCAAAAAAAAAAATATGGAAAATAGAAAATACACCTAATGAACTTGTGGTTAGAGCTTAATGCATACATTCACTATACCTCTCTCAACATCTTTGCAAGGATGGCGTCAATATCCTTATTACCGAGGTGAGGAAATTCAAACTACAAGAGATGAAATATCTTTGCCCCATATCCCACAGCTGGTAAGTGGCAGAGTCATGCTTACAACGCATTTTGGGTAAGGGGATTGCCAGGCGGAATAAAAAGTTCCAATGGGTTTCTTTTAGCTGTAAATGAAAAGGTATCAATGGTGAAAGAGGAACTAAGAAAGAAATTATTGAGTTTTTGAGAGAAGTTAAAGGAGATATTTCTTAGCAGGAAACTCTTAGAAACTCAGCCGGTGTGTCTGACAAGAGAAAAGGAAAGGTTCTATTGTAAGAGGGTGACTGGCAGTAACTAGGCTGTCTCACACGTGGCCAATGCCTTGAGCCATTATGCAAATGATTTAGTTGGAACAGAATCATGCTCCACAGAGAGGCTTTGGATTTCTGTTTCAGTGACTACATCATGGCCAACACAGGGAGACCTCCTCCAGGCTGATAAATCCCTGGAAATGCCATGGAGTAAGCTCTTCAAAGCACGAGACCTACAGGTTTCCCTGACTAGCTGCACAATGGACAAAAAAGGCACCTCGAACAACGAGCCCCGTTCCTACAGAATGGCTAACGAGTTCTCAAACTCGGCCCCTCGGTGTGGAGAACTCCACTGGTTTTGTTGCTGGTATTGGAGTCCCCATGCTGGAGGCTGTGATCTCTGCCCAGGACAACGACTGACCTTCCCACCCTCCAAACGAAGCACTGGCTCTGTAATCTGAATCAAAACCCAAGAATGGGACTAAAACCAACCCCCCTTCAAAGGAACCCAGCAATAAGGCAATATGCTGATGGATTAACAGGAGCTTCCCAAGGAGAGGTGGAGGGGGTGAGCTTTGGAGAAATTTGGCCCGTATAGCAACTGGGGGAAGTGGGTTCCAGGAGGCAGCTGTGCACCTAACTGAAACAGAAAGTGCCTCTTTAGAGCCAGATTCCTCCATGGTACTTGACCTCCAGCTACTGGAGAGAACTGATCAGGGAGCTGCCTGACCTTGCATTCCTGTGTCCTGCTTTAACAGCCTATAAGGAAAAGGTAGGCTAAGGGTGAGACCAAGAAGGAACCGACCGTAGAAGGAACTCTCTGACCCTAGAAGGAACTGAAGACCTTATACTCCATTGAGGGTACAATGGGATAGAATGGAAGGGCTGGGGCTACAAACTTGGATGGCTCTTTTGTCTATCTTCTCAGGTTCTTTTGTGGGGTGAGTGCCCCTCATTCAATTGGCTGGATTTGACAGTAGGAGTGAAATGTGGAAGGGAAGTGACTGTCATTTAATAACACTGTCATTGACTGGATGGGGCTGTCTCGCCCCTGTGAGGCACCAGTGTTGCTCTCATTGCTGATAATGCTTATAAAGCATAAGAGCGTTTTCCCAATGGAGGGGAATTGCTTGTAGAAGGATAAGAGTGGGATGGAGGCACTAACCAGGCTTCCAGTTCCATCCATGTTATGCAACAAAAGCGATATAGAAGTACTATCTAGAAATAAACATCTTCAAAGCCATGATTAAGGACTTTAAGACAACAGAGGTATTGAGAGATGTAATTCTTTGTAACAGTTCAGTGTGGCCATTGAAAAGGCTAATGGAGGCTGGACACTTCAGGTGGATCATTGCCACTGAATTCAGTTGTTATAGCCCTGGCTATCCCAGATGTTGTGTATCAAAACTGGTGGCACCTGAAATGTCATCTAGGATATTGCTGATTCCTTTTTTCTTTTTTTTTTAATAAATTCGTTTTATTTACTTATTTAGCTGCGTTGGGTCTTCGTTTCTGTGCGAGGGCTTTCTCTGGTTGCGGCGAGCAGGGGCCACCCTTCGTCACGGTGCGCGGGCCTCTCACTGTTGCGGCCTCTCCTGCTGTGGAGCACAGGCTCCAGATGCGCAGGCTCGGTAGTTGTGGTTCATGGGCCCAGTTGCTCCGCGGCATGTGGGATCTTCCCAGACCAGGGCTCGAACCCGTGTCCCCTGCACTGGCAGGCAGATTATCAACCACTGCGCCACCAGGGAAGCCCCCTGATTCCTTTTTTGAAATGCCTTTGGCCTAAGGAGATCAAGATCAATGCCTTTACCTGGCTGGGGCTTCAATAGACGTTTATGGTACCACAAGAGGAGTATGTGAGTTCTCAAGTTATTTGCCACCAGTAGGTGACACGAAGGAAATCTCTCTCCCTTCAGGGGACTGATTTCTGGGTAACAAATTACTACAAACTTGGTAGCTTAAAATAATACATATTTATTATTCATAGTTTCTGGCATGGCTTAGCTGGGTCTTCTGCTTCAGGGTCTCTCATGAAACAGCGGTCAAGGTGTGGGTCAGGGCTGGGCTCTCATCTGGAGGGTCAGCTAGGAAAGAATCTGCTTCCAAGCAGATACCCTTTGCCACAGAGGGTCTTTGTACTTACACTTTTTTTCTGCCAGGAACACTTTTCTCCAGCTCTTTGGAAGTCTAATTCATTCTCATTCTTTACATCTTTGGTTAAAGATCACCTTCTCAAAAAGGCCTTTCTTGACCACTCTATATAAGCTAACCTCTGTCAGTTATTACATAACCACGTTGATTTCCTTTTTAGCACTTACTTGTTTATATATTTATCATTTAACTTTCCCATTTCAGAGGAAGTCCTATCAGTGCATTTCAGTGTCTTGGTCCTGCAAGGGTGCTGTGAATATCTAAGAAAGGGCAATATAAGATTCTGTTACCGCTGCCATAGCTATGTTTAGTCACATCAGGGTCAAATCTTCTAGAATGTAAACTGTTAGAATGTAAGACCCTTACATGTGTATATGGACACTGGTGGGCAAAACTGAACGCTTAACAAATACTCTTTCACTATGATAATTGTGCTCTGTAGTCAGTTATTTGGGGGTAGCTGTGAATACAATAAATATAAAATTAGAATGTCGAATTAAACTTTTGAGAAAGAATTTACAAGTGTGTATGACTGCACAATGTATTAATTTAGGGATTAATCTTGAAACATTTCAAAATTGGTTTCAAATGGCTGAACTTGTCTAAATTGAGGGAGATTTTGTGATTGGTAGCCAGTGCATCAATCGTAAAGCATTTTTTTTTTTTATTTTGTGTTCATTTCCTGCATTACCAAAGATCTTTTAAATATGTTATCCCACTAGAGTAATGCAGTTAGATTTCTAATAGGTATTTTAAACAATATAATTTCATGTATTAATTTTACATTCTTAAGGGAAAACAGTGAGAGATGAAAAGCAAAAGGCAATGTGGCAGACAACTTCTGACAGAGCTTGCAATTACCCCTCCTCCTGGTATTCCTGTCCTTGTGGGAGCTCCTCCCTTTAGGTGTGAGCTGGACTTGATACTTCCTCCTAACGAGCAGAAAATGGCAAAGGTGGGGAACATCACTTCCAAAATGAGGTTATAATAGACTGTGACTTCTGTCTTGCTTGCACTCTCTTTGGCTCCTCTCATGGGCTTGCTCTGACGAAACAAGCTGGAGAGACCCATGTGGGGAGCAGCTGAGGGTAGCCTCAAGCCCATCACCTTTAAAAAGCTGAGGCCCTCAGTCCAACAGTTGTTGAGGAACAAGTCCTGCCAACAACCACCACAGTGAGTTTGGAAGCAAACCTTCCCCAGTTGAGCCTTCAGATGAGACCGCAGCCGAAGATGACACCTCGATTGAAGCCTTGTGAGAGACTGACACAGAGGACCATATCAGGCTGGGCCCAGATTCCTGATGCACAGAAACTATGAGCAAATAAGTACATGTTGTTTTAAGCTGCTAATTTTGGGCATAATTTGATACACAGCAATAGATAACTCGTATAGCAAACTTTTATAATAATATTAAGGGAATTAGGTAAAAATATTAGTTGAAAGTATATTTTGTGCTACACCTTTATCTGTATTATCTCATTATTCCTCAGCTCCAACCTGTTCACTTTTGACTGGCAATTTCATGGACTCCAAAAAATTAGCATAAGCAGTTATTGCACTCTGAAATTTCCATTTAGGCTTTGTGCCAGTTACCAATTTATTGCCCGTCAGCTCCAAATTCATCTTTCAATATCTACTCTGTCATAAAGGACAGGCCAACTTTAAACACTTTTCCTTTATAGTGAGCATATTAAGCTTTCTCATAGAGGGCACCCGAAGGAGTTTGCAGAAGGAATGGGCTTTTGTGTTGGTTCTGGTGCCTACCCTGTCTGTCAGCAGTGTGGGTGTGAGAAGGTCACTGGTGCTCTGCCCTGGCCATGAGTCAGGAACGCATGGTTCTCTGACGATCCTGCATCCCTGGCCTGGACTGATGATCACAGACACTGCACCCTAGGCCCTCTGCCCACACTGGCACCCCACCTCCCTCTGCGTGCCTGCTCCCTGCGTCTCTGGTTTGTCTCCTGAAGCTCTCCTGATGTAAACTTTAGGCACTCCAGACCTC